CCCCCCCCCCCCCCCCCCCAAACAGCATTAGCTTCTGGCTGAGACCCCTCGCGCAAAACCACAAACAATGCTACAAAACATGTAAAGAAACATCAACTTTTAGAATGTTTTAACTTATTCACTATATTCAATTAATTATTACAGCTGCTGAGCATAAAGATGTTATTAACTAACATGTTTTAAACACTGTATTATATTCCCACTCCAGTGGCACTGAAGTTTCGAAGTTTTTAAACACTCGTTTGCGAGGGGCTCCAGACAGAGGACACATTTTGGGCAATCATGGCCATTTTTCTGTATGACTAAAGCCATACTTAATGTATGCTTCAGCTGGCCATGAGTTTTTTTTTTGTTTTTGTTTTTTTGCAGCAGCAGCAGTTTCCACCACAGCAGGGCTGCTGGTCGGTTCCTTCTATGATTTTAGAAACTTCTTCATTTCATCCTTGCTATGCTAGCTTGCAAAGTAAAGCAGCTTGATATATTTGACTGGCAGCCAATCAGAAAGATGAGCATGGTGAAAAATATTTCAATATATTATTATAAAATATATTTTAAAATAATTATTGAAAAATAGATTTGATTTTATTACAGTAATTTAAAACATTTAAAATTTTAATAAAAAAAAAAAAAAAAAAGCTTTTTCTTTTAATCTTCCTTTCGCCAGCTTTATGAGGCTTCCCTAGCGCCCCCTGGTGGCCCACCAGGGGTCCTCGGCCCGCACTTTGAAAAACACTGGCGTACACACCACCACTCTGTTTGTGTTGGGGTGTTTTGTCCTTAGGGTGGACCAGCCTCTGTCTGAGGGTCCTGTTGGGCTTGAAATGTACTGGGATGTTGTGCTTGGAGAAAATCTTTCTGAGTTTCTCTGCATACAATGTAATTATGACAGAAAATGGAGGATGTACCTGCATTTACCTTCGTACAGATGAGCATGTGGTACTTCCTGTTTATCACTGTTGTATTCAGCTGATCATGAGGTCGGTCATCAGCCTTTAACCATCTTTTACAATTTTCTAGACTCAGTTTAGGTTTTGGAAATGAATCAACTGTATTCCACCCTCTAAACACTCAGAGTAACACTGACTGAATTACGTTCTCCACTGACAACATTTAACCATTTTCTTGATGATTTTTTTTACAAAATCCCTCTGACTACAAAGAGTTCAAAATGCAAAACCCAGACAATGTTGTCAGAGGAAAAGGGGGTAGATCTCCTGCAGGTAAGGGGCATTTACCTACAGGACAAATTGAGATCACTGATTGGTCAGTTGTTGACGAGTCTGCTGGATTGATTGACAGGTGGCATCAAGGATCTGACTCATGCAACAAAATCATAGATTTTTCTGGCCCGTTTAAAAGCGTCATCATTTATTCTAGTTTTATTTCAAATTTGTTCATTATTTTGATGAATCTAAGATTTGAGAATTGAGCTTCTTTACAAAACCCTAATGATGTTTCTGTATTTTTCAGGGGTGCTGAGTTAAAATTTAGGGGTGCGCCCTCCCCCCCCCCCCCAAAAAAAAAATTTTTGCACCTCCAAAAAGAGGCTAAAATAGTCATTGTTCTCATGTTAGTCCTTCTCTCTGATGTTTCTTTAGATTCCTGGATTTAATATGGGACATTCTGGACATTTGTTTCTTGTTTTTTATTATGTGGAATAGTTCAGTGATTTTTCTCACACCTTTGTTGACGTTTGAGATTCGTGAGGACCATTCATTGATTCAACCTTTATTTATACAGACCGGTCTCATTGAGCCACAATAACTCATTCACAAGAGGGACCTGTTCCAGACCGAACATATAAAGGGAACAGAACATATATTTGTTGTTTACAGATGTTGATCAGTCTACTTGGACTTGGCGAGTTTCTCGGTCTTGTTGGGCAGCAGCACCACCTGGATGTTGGGCAGAACTCCTCCCTGCACGATGGTCACTCCTCCCAGCAGCTTGTTCAGCTCCTCGTCGTTGCAGACAGCCAGCTACAGGTGTCGGGGGATGATCCTGGTCTTCTTATTGTCACGAGCAGTGTTTCCCGCCAGATCCAGAATCTCAGCTGTCAGGTACTCGAGCACCGCTGCCAGATAGACTGGAGCTCCTGCACCGACGTGCTCTGTGTAGTTTTCTTTCCTGAGCAGCCTGTGGACATGACCGACAGAACTGGAAACCAGCACGAGAGGAGCGGGTCTTGGACTTAGCTCTGGCTTTGCCGCCTTTTTTTCCCACATCCAGACATTTTAGTAAAGTTCTTCAGTCAATGTTCAAAGAAAGAAACAAGCCATCAAAGACTCAGGGCAGACATGAGTCAGTAAAGTTCTTCCTGTTCCCAAAACAAACGTTGTTTATCTGAATTTGGCTCCCCGGCTGGTCTTGACAGGCCACCTTATGTCAGTTCGCCTGGAGGCTGTGTAAATCTCGACGCTCTGCCCCTCCCCTCCCACCAAGGAAGTCTGTGGACCTATCAGAGGGACCCGGCTGAATAAACATTGCGTCATTATTTCAGGACTCTTGGATTCTCTCTGGAGCTGTCCTAGGTTGACCTCGGGACGAGAGTGTTTACGGATCTCACCAGAGGGAACTGACTGATTGTCCCATTCTTATCAGAACTCCTACAGTGCCTCTGGAGTGTCTTTGGACACGAGCACCACTCTTGTCGTCTCGCCTGCGAAATGTCTGCATCACTATGTGCCTATGTGCAGGGTGTTTTTTTCAATCTCCTCGGCCAAGGAGTGAGAGTTTGATAGGAATTGTTTTGCCTCCAAATCCTATACATGTGTCACTTTCATTACTTTTTGTCTGTCTAAACACGTCTCACTTGTAAATGAGTCTTTGAGGCTCAATGTGTATCTGTGTAAAGGTTGAATGAACAAACTGGGAATACTCCAGCTTTTCTCCTCAAAACCTCTGCCTTTTTGTTAATACTACTAGTACAATCCAACTTTGTCTTGATCAAACTTTTTTTTTTACCTTTAATCGTTTTAGCTGTCAACCTTCTTTGAGTTGTGTTGACAGCCTGAAAAGCAGGAATAGATGTCTGCGTATAATGTGAAGGTAATGAGACAAAACATCAAAGATCTCAGGTTCAACGTGTCTGCAGTAAAGTACAAAGTCAAAGTAAAAACCAGAGTCACTGCTTTGATGTTGCTTTGATCCTGTCCTGAACTGACAAATACAGTGTTAGCCTGATTTCTTCTTATTTAGTCTGTTACAAGATGAGGCATTTTTTCATTGCATATGTGTACTGATTTATTTATTTATTTATTTATTTAAGGAAAGCTCACTGATGCCTTTTCCTCCCTGGCAAAGAAAGGCAACTTCAGAGCTTTGAGCCGAAAACTCAACCTGGTAAATGGTTATTTATCTACTTCTCTCCAAAAAGTACTTCAAAGGTGTCAAAGAAACATTTGCTAAGGTTCTTAAACTCTACCACACACAAAAATATTAATTTGATCAAATATGTCTTTTTGTAAAGGTGCCTAAGTCCGATGAAGAATACGACCTGCGTGTTCCTCGAGACATGGCTTACATCTTCAGCGGAGCTTACGTCCCTCTGAGCTGCAGACTCGTCGAGCAGGTGAGGACGTGAGCTGGACTCATTCCAGTGGATGGGAGGGATTACCTGAGTCTCATTTACTGTGACCTAACTGAACATCGTTGGATTAGTTACCTGGATTATTGAGCATGAACCTTGACACATTTACTGTGTTTCTGTTTTATTTCTACAGGTGCTGGAGCGAGATGGTTGGACTGGGCTCGAAGAAATAACCAGGCTGCTAAATGGGCATGAATTTTCTGTTACAGGTTAGATCCCCATTAAATCATCTACAGCAAAGATGTCCAGTCCAGTACCTCATGTACAAAGACTTGTGTGGATTTCCTACTGCAACATGACGTATGCTTAAATAGAGAAAACAGTACAAATAAATCCAGATGTATGAAACCGTGCATACGCATGAATCCAAGCACACTTCCTGTGTACATCCCAGTCAACGTGGATTTGAGTGCATGAGGGAATACTTGACTCCTCCCTGGACACGCCTTCATTTAAATATGCAAATAGATTAAAATTTGCCCTGCACCTGAGGAATCTCCTCAGAATCAAATGTCTACACGCAGGAAAAAGAAGAACTTACAGAGCGTGAGTTGGAGATGTTTTTAAATGAGGTTGCGGCTCGTGAAAACTCTGTTTGGAACGCTCTCCTCTGGTTTTAGCTCCAAGCACAAGAGGAGTGAGTGGAACGATGAGTGAAGCTGTAAATACTGTGGGGTCAGAGCAGCGCTCACCTGCACAAATTATTAAAAATAGTCGGACATATGAGGACGATTAAATGACTTTAGTCACCAAGAAGCCCCCCATCCTGCACCGTGCCAGCCTGTAGTCTGTTCCAACCATGCTGTTCATCAGAATGAGTGAATCGTGTTGAACCAGGCCACCTCTCCACCATGTTGGTTAGTTATTTTTGTGCTTCACATATAATTTACACATTGATTGAATGAAAATGCTTCTTATTAATATAAACATATTCATAACAAATTGTGTGCAGTCCATAGTTCCGATTACATTAGGAAAACTGTCGCTGCAAACTGTTTTAATGTTGGCCTGTTCAGATGCATTGTGGGTAAATTGATATTCCTGGTTGATAATTCCATCCTACACCGCTGGCATGGCTCAGCTCATGGTGGACTGTCTGGCTCAGTTCTGATCGGTCTGCCAGCTCTCTCTGTTGTTAGGAACCCCAGTGTGGTCAGCAGCTGTATGTGCACGGGCAGCGCACGGCTCCTCGTTGTGTCGTGCTCCAAGACCAACGGTAGCTCCAAGCACAGTTCCAAAAGGATTGACCTTGGAAGTTGAAAGCAGCTGATGATCCAGTCGTCATCGTGGTCCAGAGAATCCTCTGTCTCTAAATACACACTCTTTGTGTATTCACCATTTGTTATTTCATCTGATAAGACTAAAACTGTTGTTGTTAAAGATATTTTCTGCACCACTTTGGGCAGTTTTTATATCCACTTATCTGATTTCATAAATGTGGATGTATTAATTGTTCATCATGTGTGTCTGGTGTGTACAATAATTTTCACATCATTACCATCCAACATTTTTCAGTCAGGTCATCTGGACAGTTTCTTTTTTTTTTGTGCTGAAACGTTTCGCCTTTGGTCCGGAAGGCTTCATCAGTCAAGGAAACACAACAAAACTGATTCTTCCCCCAACAGCTTACTCCAAAGTGGAACAAACCAGTTCTGCTTGTGATAAGATTGTCTCTTTGGTACGCCCCCTCCTCTATTGCTGGCCCTCTTCCTTGTTGACCGTCTTGTCAAACTGGTTAAAAACAACAAAGACCATGCTCAATAATCCAGGTATACAATCCAACATTTTTCATTCAGGTCATCTGGACAGTTTCTATTTTTTTGTGCTGCAACGTTTCGCCTTCGATCCGGAAGGCTTCGTTGGCAATGGAACGGCAGAACTGGTTTGTTCCACTTTGGAGTAAGCTGTTGGGGGAAGAATCAGTTTTGTTGTGTGTTTCCTTGACTGATGAAGCCTTCCGGATCGAAGGCGAAACGTTTCAGCACAAAAATAAATAAATAAACTGTCCAGATCAGATGACCTGACTGAAAAATGTTGCGGATTGTATACCTGGATTATTGAGCATGGACTTTGTTGTTCACATCATTACCAGTTTCCCAGAATCACCTCTAAGTGTCATCGATGGACCAGCAACCATAGAAGTGTGCTACACAAGCCATGAAGGTGTATAAATGTTTCCATAGTAGTTTCATTCTTGATACATCTGAAGTGTTACGTGGACGTATGCCACATTTTTGTGCGTACACACTCTTTGTACTTGAGGCCCCTGGTCCTGGAGGGCCACTGTCCTGCATGTTTACATGTTTCTCTGCTCCAACACAGATGATTTGAAAAGGTGGCTGATTAACAGGCTGCTGCAGAACATCAAGAGGTGATTCTACTATTGAATCAGATGAGATGGAGCAGGGAAACAAGCCAAACATGCAGAATAGTGCCCCTTCAGGACCTAGACTGGACATTCCTGATCTACAGTACTGAAGAAGTTATAGTTTATTATCGATTGATTGATTCATGCCAACATATCCCATACTAATCTGTTCTGAACTGACAAGCACTAAATGTTTTTCTTCATGATATCAGGCAGCAATGGAGCTGATCTGAAGCAGAAGAACAATGCTCAGCGCATCGTTCTGGTCATGTTCCTCGGTGGATGCACCTTTTCCGAGATCTCAGCCCTGCGGTTCCTCGGCAGGGAGAAAGGTAAGCGTGTTATTCTAGGCTTTATTTCTTGTGTTGGCTGAAGCTCAGTTTCAGCTTTAAGTTCCTGAGTGTAAATAACAAAAGACTAACCTGATCCATAAGGTAAACATTTATTATTTTTGTTCTTATTTGATCCAGTCTTTACTGTAATGAGACGAGGTTCTTGTAGAGACCTAATTACCTGCAATAAACTGGAGTGCAGGCCAAATAATTAACATAAGATAATAAAAAGCCACAACCTAACGCTTTAGTTTATTTTGGGATATTATTGTTGGCTAAAGTAGTCAAATCAAACCATTATACTGTACTTGTAATTTATGTAATGGATATTTTAAATGTAATGTGTAATGTTGTGTTAGAACACTCAAATGAGATGATCTAATTTTTGTTGTCTTTTTCCAGGTTATAAATTTATTGTTGTAACAACAGCGATTACAAACAGTTCCAGACTGATGGAAGCTCTGCTGGACTAAAAGTGAAGCCTGCCATTAAATACGGCAGCTGGCAGTGGCCCTTCAGCACAGAATGGACGCTTTTATTCCTTCTCCGACAAAACTGAAATGTAAAAAAGTGAATAAATGTCTTTTTAAAACGACTGTTCTCGTGTTTTTTCTATGAGTTCATCAGTCTGAAATTAAACACAACTCGCCACACCCCTCAATGTCATTGTGTTTGTTTTGCTCACGAACGTTGGTTGGGGCGTTTCGGGCGGGCGGCTCTTTATTATATCTACGGTGAAAGGGGAAAATACTTTCAGCGGTCTACGGCGGTGTAGTTATTACGCGCATGCGCATAATGAGCCAATCAGAAAGCAGAACGCTGTCGCACGCTTATTTTGAACCAGGCACAAACGGTCAGTTTTCAGACAGCAGCTCTGAATGCTCGATTGTTCGCTGTCGGAGTGTCGGATTTATTTTGAATTGTCTGCTCTGGGATACAACAATGAGAAAAAGGTGAGATGTGAGCTGCTTTTATTTTACGTTAGAGACATGGTGGTTTAGCGCTTAAAAATGACTTTTAGTGAGTAACATTTAACGTTAGACAAGGTAACTGCTGGCGAGTCTGACGTCAGACATGGCGACACGAGCATGAATGTTTGACTCGTTTTTAGTGAAGGTTTGACTTTATTCTACGCACATCTTTCAAGTGACCCTCAAAGACACGACATGTCTCTCTCTGACCGTGTTTATTACAGTGAGGTCCTGGCGGCTGACACCATTTCCTGCCTGAACAAGGCTCTGTCCCACCTGAAGGACATCTGGGAGCAGATCGGGCTGTCTGAGGACCAGAGGCTCCAGAGGACCAACGCGGTGAAACAGCACATCCAGGTGAGACTGCTGAGGTGGAGGTGGTTTGGAACAGGTGGAGGTTCTCATGGTTCTTTATTACTTCCAGGGGAGGAACATTTACACACAGCTCCACAAACTAACTTCGCGGTTTTTTGCTCTAAGTTGTGTCAACATGTCCTGATGCATGCTCAATAATCCAGGTAGAAAAATCTAACAAGGTAAAGTCAGGTCTTCTGGAGGATTCTTCTTGTTGAAACGTTTCGTCTTTCATCCAAAAGACTTCTTCAGTCTGAGGAGCTGCAACAAGCTCAGTCTTATAAAAAACACCTTCTCAGAGTGGATCAACCAGTTTTGCTGCTGACATCCAGAACCAGCTGTTCACATGGTCAAGAAGGACCATCAGCCTAACAATGGATCATTAGCACACTGATGGCTGTTTACTGTTCACAGAGGGCTGAGTGATACTAGCAATCACAGCATTGTAAGAGGGGGACAGTTGAACCCGGAGGCCTCCACCCCTGTTTAATGATGGACGATTTATTTTCACAAAGATGGCCTCCTTTACTCCTCTCTCAAACCATCGTTCCTCTCTGTCCAGGATGTGAACATCTTCATCCTTGAAAGAGTGACCGCTGGACTGGAGATGAGTGTAGACCGCAGAGTCCTGGCCAGATGATGTTGATCTTCTGTGCTGGGCCATCCTTTTGGCCAGTGGCTGTTTTGTTTCCCCGATGTAAGACTGATCACAGCCCTCCTGACACTGAACAGCATACACAACATTACTCTGTTTGTGCCGGGGGACTGGATCTTTGGGATGAACCAGTCTTTAATGTATTTTGGGGTTTAAAAGCCACTGGGACGTTGTGTTTAGAAAATAAACATGTCAGTTTCTCTGATACTCCCTCAACATATGGAATGACCACTGGTCTGGGTCTGGGTTCCTCCTTTTCACCTGTTGGCTGACTGGAGTCCTGTTTGGGTTTCTTCTCTGCTTTCAGGAAGGCCCAGTTAGGATATCCACATTGCTCTAGAGCAGGGGTGTCAAACTCACTTACAAAAGGGGGCCAAAATTAAAACCTTTTTCAAACTAAGGACCGGTTTCAGAATCTACAATAACTCAAGTTAGAGTTACTGTCAAGTTATTTTGGGGGAGTGGTGGCGCAGAGGTTAAAGAAGCTGGGCCCGTGATCGGAAAGTCACGGGTTCAACTCCCAGTACCGTCAGTATCAAAATGTGGGTGGAATATGTGAAACACCCACATCTATGTTCATTTGTGCTCATCTGCTCACTCACTCATGTTCGTGCAGCTGTTCAACATAATGTTTTTATGCTATCGGTGTATATTTAGTTGATGTTTTTCTTGGTTCATATCTTAGATCTTATTACTGATTTTTCTTTTCTTTTTACGTTTTATTGTTGGATGTAACTGGAACCCTGCATACATAATCTTGTTTCACCACATGAGATGCGAATAACAAATAACACTCTCTGAATCACTGAACCTGCCTCCACCCTCATTTGCCCCACTCTGGGCCCCTGAGCAAGGCCCTTAACCCCCACCATCTGCTCCCAAAAACAGGTCTCTTGAAAATGAGTTCTTGTGACTCAATGAGACTACCTGTATAAATAAAGGGTAAAGCGGGGGGGGGGGGGGGGGGTAGATGCCCAACATCTTTTCTTGGTCTCAACTTAAGACCTTGAGTTTGACACATATACAGAGCCTGTCTTGTGTGTGATTTCCCCTTCCGCCTGGCTCCCGAGTTAGTGGGGACGCTGTCTGCTCTGTGGTACAGAGTCCTGATGATTCCTAACTTGTGCTCCAGAGGGTGTTCATCATTAAACAGGGGTGGAGGCCTCCATGTTCAACTGTCCCCCTCTTACAACGCTGTTATTGCTAGTATCACTCAGCCCCCTGTGAATAGTAAACGGCCATCATGGTGCTAATGATCCATTGTTAAGCTGATGGTCCTTTACATGTGAGCAGCTGGTTTTGGATGTCGACATCAAACTGGTTGATCCACTATGGGATGGTGCTATTTAAGAGACTGAGTTTATTGCAGCTCTTCAGACTGAAGAAGTCTTTTGGATGAATGACGAAACGTATCAAAAAGAGGAATCCGTCCAGAGCAGCATCAGAACATTTAAACATACTGCTCCACAAATATGTATATTTGAATTTGCTCTGTCAACAATATTTTTTTCTTTGACTAATCCTTCAACATGAACTTTTCAAAATAAAAGCCATCAAACAGGTTAGTGGTTTGGGCTTTTATAGTTCTGAGCATTTATTATCCAGGCTTTCTTTAGGCTTTTAAAACATTATTTTCTTATTCATTTTAATTATTCTTTGGACACAGACTTTTTCAGTTATTTCTAGACTTTACAGAAAATGTGTGTTTTTAGGCCTCTAAGCGTGTGCATGATGGATGAGTCATTCAGTCAGAACGTATGTCACCTCTGCATTTTGATGCTTGTTCAACAAAATCAACTGGAGAAATGCAACTTTTGAGGATTAAGCTTGATTTCACTCAGTTTAATCTAACGCAACATTTTAGCACTCAGACTGTGTAGAAGATGACTCTCAGCTACTTCCACCACAGGTTTTAGCTCGATATCTGTACAATTAGCTCATTAAAAAAAAAAAATAATAATGTGTTGTTGGGCATTCCAGTCATCTTAAACTGGGTTGGCTTTAAAATTTAGAGCCAACCCAGTGAATGCTTTCTAAAAAGTTTCATGAAAACCTGTGGTATATGAGATATTTTGCTAACAGATGGACACAAACCAGATGCAGTATTTCATCATTAGACGGCAGGTGATAAAAATACTCCTAAACTTAAAGCACAAACCTTTGTTGTTGTCTTATAACGGAAGAATCACAGCAATAGACTAGATCTATTTTGCCTTGATTTGTACATTTTTAAAGTTTTAAAATAAGTCTACAAATGTTTGACAACATATTGTTGTATGGAGTGGAAGTATTTTCAATATTGGCCGTTACAGTGATTGCTTGCATGTGAGGAAAAGTATTTTATTTTTAGAGATAGAGAGTAATACTAACTTAAGTAATATTTACTTCCATGGGCGTCCCTGTACTAGTTTTTCCCTCTTCACACCAAGTACAAGTACTTCAGTTTGGGTACTTGCTGATACTGAGTACTAATACTGAGTAGTTAATAATGAGTTGCACTTTAACATTACACAATAACTTTAGAAAAGCATTTATTTAAGAACACACCAAACAATTTTCAGTCTTGACATCACCTGTGTTTATCTTAAAATATCTCTAAACATTTTTTATTCTTTGTCCTCGATTACTTGAAAAGTAAGAGGAAATGTCATCATCTAGTGTAAAAGTGGTATAATTTTGAAGTATTGAGGTATTTTTATGGGTTAAGTAAGTATAAGTATTTGAGGCTGATATTGTTGGAGAAAAATATTCTCACTTTATCTTACTGACTAAAAAGGAGCCACACTCGATGACGGGAGAAGATTTTTAACAGATTTTTCTTTTTTTACTTGCAAGGACAGATTTTTCAGGACAGATCTACAGGAAGTACACATATGGAGCACAGTCATGAGAATCTGCCACGGGCAGTCTGTGAAGCTTGTTTTTATACTCTTATCAGTTCAGCTGAGTTCAGACTCAGAGGCGACAGCCAGCTCCTCATTCAGCTTTCTACTAACATATGGCTCATGGGCAGAGTTAACATTCTCAGCCATAGTAGTTTAAAAACATCCATAAACCTTGACCAAAAAGCCCCTAGTTTATATCAAGGCTGGTATTGGGACACCACTAAGTATTTCTGTAGATTGAGTTCAGGTATTTTTCTGTATTTTTAGATAGCTGGAGTTCAGTAAACTTGTACAAGTACACGTAGAGCAGTATGTTGAGCTTGGACTTGGTTATCCTAGTGGTTTTATAGGAAAATCTGTTGGTGAAAATTAGGGATGCACCGATCCACCTTTTTCACTTCCGATCCGATACAGATATCTGCGCTTGTTGTCGGGCGATGCCGATCCGATACTTGCCTGATACAGAAAAACAGTGCTGAATTAACAAAAATGGCTAAATGATGTTATCTGGACCCTTTTCTGAAACGAATCCAGATGACATGATTTAGCCATTTTTGTTGTCTACCTAGATGTTTGAACTTACAAACCCAGTGCCGAATTAACTTAAAACATTTGTTTTGTTAAACGCAGACATGAATGTACTGAATTACAAATTTATTGAAAACTGTGCACCAGAGCAGCACACTTAAACACACCAAGAGCTTCACAAGCTCGGTCAAACGTAAAAACAACATAATTTGTTCAGTCAGTATGCTAGCACGTGACGTCACTCAGAGCACAAAGCACAGAATTAGAGTGAATAGATCTGCCCAGTCATGGATCGATTACATTGTCATTGATACCTGATCCAGAAGTGTTTTTTTACTTATTCATTTTTTATCTGTATCGATACCAATATTGGCATCGGATCGATGCATCTCTAGTGAAAATCCATACAATCATAGATAGTGGCCAAGATGGTGTAGAGGCAGGGCAGCCAGCTTGGGACCCGAAAGCCTCAGGTTCGATCCTCGGTCACTGCATACCGCGTGGTGTCTCTGGGCAGCACACCTCATCCCCAAAATGCCCTCCGGGCACCTCCAATAGCTGCCCACCACACCACCTGGTGGTGGATGAATTTTAACAGAGACTAAAATGCAGAGACTAATTTTGCCATTGTATGGAAACATACTGTGATGACATTATTATTATTTATTTATTTATTTTAAGGAGCACACAGACGACCACCATCATGAGCTGATTTGTTTTACTTCATTTCTCATGCAGGCTCTGCTGGAAATGATGATTAAAGAAGAGGAAACTCTGAAGCAGAAACTCCTGAGCAGCATCCAGACATGCAGGGCAGAAATGGACCAACTCTACCTGGAACTACAGATGGCTGTTTTTGAGGTAACACCATCATTTTCTCTACATCTGGCGGTCGAATAAAGTCTGGATTGATTCTTCAGATGTTGCTGGACAAAGTTTCACAACTTGTTTTTACAGCAGTTCTCTCCTGGTCTGCCTCTAAAATCTGAGATTTTTTCCTTCTGATTCATCTAAACAACTTTTCTTCCTGAAACCAGAATCAACAATTTAATTTCAGATCATTTTAATGTTTCCAGTCAAATTGAACATTTACCTTTTTATACTCCAACACAAAATGTAAACAAACTTGCAAAGTAAAATATCATGGTTTAAAGTTCCAACTGCAGCACGACAGACATGTTTTTAAATAGTTCAGCATCCTGTAGGGAAGCTCTGATAATGGACTGTACCGCTGACAAGTGTTCATTTGCCTTAACTGCACTTTTCACGTCATTTTTTTAAATTTTATTGTTCTTGGTCATGGAGCAAAGAGGGGGATATCTGTTGTACGTCTGTGAATGTTGTGAGCATAGTTTGAAAAATAAGTGAAGTAACAACTTTTAATTTTGACTGAACACTGTTGGATTTTTTTACCTGGATGACTGAGCACGACCCTTGATGACTTTCATTTTGGCGTGTGGGTGCATCTAGGTGAAGGAAAGTTTTTGAACCTTTTTGAAAAGTGGGTTGCCATGTCAAAATCCAATATGGCCGTCATCATAAATATGTAAACCAGCCACTGAATTCATTTGAGGAAGTTATGCTTTCTTGTTTAATATTGCTCAATGGTATAGTTTCCTCAAATGACTGGGGTGGCTGGTTGGGTGGCCAAGGCCACCATTTACCACCCCTGGCTCCACCAGTACGCCTGGTTGAGGATAAAATTCTTGCTCCCTCTGCTCGCCAGGATCCATCACTCCGCAGCTGTGGCTGAGTGGTTAGACCAGTCGTCCTCCAATGGGAGAGCTGGGGGTTCAATTCCACCAGCAGCCACATGTTGAAGTGTCCCTGGGCAAGACACTGAACCCCTCATAGCCTCTGATGTGTGTCTCCTCAGTGTATGAATGTGATCTAATGCACTGATTAATCTCTAGAGATTCAGATTATCTTTGTAGAGATGTAGCAGAGTGCTGTGTGGATGTGTTGGAGGTAAATGAGGACACAGATTGTTGTAAAGAGCTTTGAGTATCTGGATTAGATGGAAAGTGTAAGTAAAGTCAGTTTACTCATAGTAGATGTTTGACACTAGGATGTTCTATTGCAATAAAAGTAAAGTACAAAACAAGATCAAAATCTTTTCTTTTAACATTTTGCTTAAAACTGCAAATGTTAAAAAGGAAACTAAAGAAGCTGGTGGAGGATGTAGATCTCCTCAGAGGAGCATGACTCCACAGCACCAGCTGTTCTCAAATGTGGGCTCAAATTATGTTCTAAAGTTTCCTCCACCATTAATTCACTGGAGAACGTGGACGACAGATGACCTGTGCGACTGTATTCAGTTCATTTGACAGCTTGAAACCTTCACATGTTTCCTGTCGTCTCATCAGAGCCTGTCTGCTGCTGTTGAGGGAACCATCATGTGGAACAGACCAACCAGTTTTATTGTTGGCTAATTTAAGTTATTTCATATTTTGGATACTCTGAAATTGTCACAGCTGTGGACTCTTATTTGTCCCCATAACATGATATAACTGTAGGTCTGACAGGAACTGGACCGAGGAACGTCCTGTGTTGACACTGATGAATTTTAATAATGGTATTTGATTGCCTGCTAATCCCAACAGCCCCATTACTTACATCTGTTTCTTGTTCCTTGTGTTGGAGTGTTCTTCTGCTTGTTCTCTAGTTACTGGTTCTGAAGTGACTGCATGAAGATAACCAGCTGGAACAGTCTGACTGTAGCTTACAGACTGAAGTGTCTGACAGAGATGGTTTCTCTGCAGGAGGAGGAGGGTCTTAGCATACTCCAGCAGGAGATCAACCTTCGCACACAGTTGGAGGCTCTGAAGATGGAGAAGACCCAGCGGATGCGGCAGCTCAAGCTTCTGCTGGAGCAGGACCAGGACCTGTGTGACATCTTGTGCTCGATGCCGTTCGGCATCGCCCCAGACTCCGTCCCTTCCCTGGAACAACTGGAGAACTTCCAGCAGCACATCTCCAACCAGAATAAAGAGAAGGTCAGGTCACTCATACTTGTTATTGTTCTGTTAAATATGAAATGTCTTTGTTTTTGTGGTGTTAGCAAAATATCATGAACCAGTGGAAGAATTTAGCGAATCTCTAATTTTAGATGGTGAGTTAAGATTAGTTGAGTCGTTCACATCATGCCACGTCACATGAAAGAATGTCCTTTAGCAGGTTGGACCAACAAACTGCTACAACTCTGTCCATCCTGTTTGGGGTGGGGGGGGGGGAGGTGACAGAAGCTCAGCTGCCGTCATGAACCACAGACAACAGGAGCTGTCAGAGGAAGTTACAGCCATGAGACTGACGGCTCTGCATTTTGTTTTATGCATCGTTTTCAGTAAACAAGGCAACTTACAGGACAGTCATACCCCGGGGCTCACAACACAAGATTTTTAACAATGTTTTTAACAATGTTTTTAAGAAAAAAGTTTTGTCACAAACTTGTCTGTCTGATGTCTAACGAGTCTCTTCAGACCTGAAAAAGCTTCTTGATTAATGCATGAGCTTAAAATGTCCATCCTGTGTTACCCTAGCTTACTTCTCTTGGCAGGGTGCTCATCCCTTCTGTGATATTTGTTGGGGTGGAGATGGAGACACACGTGGGTGGGGGGGTTGAAGGAAACGGCTCATTGTGAGGGAGACGGAGCACTACCTCTAGCATTTTAGCTAGTGTGTCTGTATTGTGTGCAGCTAGCTTAGCGCTATGTCAGTGTCGGGTGGTGGTGGTGGAGAGACAGTTCAGTAGGCAGGGCGCTCGGTTCTGTTGACAGGGCGGGGCGCCCTCCTTGTATAATGGTGGGAAAACACTGCTCAACCATGTGACCGAATTGAGCTTTAAACTCATAAATGTCCAATTAATTTACTCAAGGAGGCTAAATAAAGGGAACTAATGAAGGGCCATCCATCCGTCATCTATATCCACTTCTTCCTTTTCAAGTTGCAGGGGTCACTGGTGTCCATGTCCAGCAGTCAATGTGCAAGAGGTGGGGGACATCTGGACAGGTCTCCAGTCTTTCACAGGGACACATCGAGACAAACGACCATTCACACTCTCACTCACATCTAGAGACAATTTAGAGTTGCCAATCAGTCTAACATGCATGTTTTTGGTCTGTGGGAGGAAAACAGTATCTGGAGAAAACTCATGCATCACGGAGAGAACATGTAAACTCCATGTTTCTTGAAAAAAAAAAGTTTAGTATTTTTCAAATTACAGTAGAATTGTGACAATGATGAGAGAAATGATGTGTAGATGAACAGATGCTGAGATATATTCATCAATTAAAACAGATTCTTCATTTTTCTGGACTGAATAAAACGTGCATTGAATTTAATGAATTGTAACGTGAGACGTCATTTATCTTTGACCCATCAAAATGAATGCGGTCATTTATTTTACAGAATCAAAGTTTAACATCAAACATTTACATTAATTTGGCAAAATATGAAAATAACAACATAATCAATCAGCTTTACAACCAGGAAAACCATACGGCCATGATTTTCCGTTGCTTCACCACAGACATTAATGAAAACTGTACAATTATGATCAATTATCCACACGGCGGTGGATGAGCACTTTACACAGACATTTCTAAATTATCTGGAAGGATTTCTACTTGATAGAAGGATTTAAAGATGGAAATGAAGTTTAAAGGGAGTAAAAGATGGTGTGTGAGGGGGAGTGTTGACCAGAACCGACACTCTCCATTCGAACCCAGCTTTTCCTCGGTACGCTTGGTAGGAAACTTGACTCATTACCTTTCTGAAGATAAATCAGCAGATATGGAGTTCCAGTTAACGCTACCTGTCCAGCGTCTCCATAGGATGGCTGTGACTCGTCCGAAGTAGTGACGAGATTCCGTCCGACACAAGCTCACCTCAGCCAGTGGACTTCACATGAGTGGAGTCCTTCAGAAGTTCCACTCAGAGGTGGAAGATGTTATAATCCAAACTCGGAAGAGCCTTATCATGGCTGGACTTCTGTTCTCCCAAACGACTTCACAGAACTGCGAACATCTCAGAACTTCTCCGCGCTCACCGAACTGAGAGAACTAGGAAGTACCGGCAATTTAAAGAGCTCTATTTCCGGTATATTTGAGCGTCCCTGATTGGTCCATATCAACCAGACAGGGGTGTGTTTTGTGATGTAAGAGGTTACTAGAAGTCAGAAAACCGCAAGAATTGTTATGGAACAGATTAAAACTGTTCTCAGACAGGCGAGAGAAATATTTTGGCGAGTTTGGAGAAACAGGTGCCAACTCCTCTGTTTACGTCTGAGAGGATTTTAAAACAAGACACATGTCTGCTTCGACTCCGACCTTGGACAAAACTTACATTTGCTCATTCAAAGACAGAAATCAGAAAATACATGATTACTCTGTAACAGGCCTTAACATGAATTCTAACTTTGCATGAGGATTAAAAAATCATTGTTACTGTTTCACAGTTAATAAAATTGATTAGTTCACTGCAACATCTAAAATGGTTTGAACTAAGACACTTTGATTATCAACATTTGTAAAATAGTAATGATAATAAAAAGAGAGTGTTCTTTCACTTGATTTTCAAGAAAGAAAGTCTCAGGATGGGTGAACCTGTATTTCTGGATTCAAATCAATGAAATGACAGTTTCTGTCCCACAAGGTTCTTAAGGTCAAGGGTTTTGACCTTAGGCTTAGTTTTGACATCAGGTTAAGTTCACTACAGATGGATGTTCATATCAAACTAAAGGAAAAGCATTTTCCACTTTAGTATTACTGGTTTTTTCCCCTTGTTCTTCAGGCACTGGTGTCTTGTATGACCCATCTGATCCCATCTGTTGGTGAATATTAGTTTTTCAGCGAATCTGATAGTAAAATAACCAGTTTAGTAAATCCCGAGTCTTTTCTTGTGATTGAATTTTTATTATTATTTTTCCTCAGTTCAAAGTCCTGTTTGAAAGCTTCTTTTTTGCAGGAGGAGTTACTGCTTCGTGTGTGTGTGTGTGTGTTGATTCCCAACAGCTGACTGGTTTCTTGACCCGGTGGTGTTTTTTGACAGGCAAAGCGACATGCAGAGTTCATGGAGCTCAAGAAGCAGATCACTTTGCACATGGAAGAGCTGGACCGCATCCCAGAGAGCAGCTTTGAAAAGGACGTGGTCTGTGAGGACGAGGACTCCTTCTGTCTATCCAGAGACAACATCACAGCTCTCAGACTGCTGCTCTGTCAGGCAAGATGTTTCTGCATTACATGTCCTTTAAGTTCAGCTTGAGCTTTAATAAAAAAAATCAAACTGTGAGTTTTCCATGAGTTGTGAGGTGTTTGAAGATGGCTCGTTGCACCACAGCATTCTGGCTGTTTTTGACCACTTCATTTAAACTCCGTGTCGATCCTGCAGCTGCAGGAGGTGAAGGCAGAAAACGAGTTGACGTGTGAGAGTCTCAGAGAGAGGATCCAGCAGCTGTGGGACCGGCTGCAAGTTTCTCAGGAGGAGAGGAAGGCCCTGAACGAACACTTGGTCTCTTCCAGGAAGAAGAACCTGGAGGCGGTGAGCAGACCCAAGGCACCGCTGTGTGCTTTTGATTTTCTACACAATTTGTTGCTGTGAAAGATGAAAATGTGATCTTTTTTTTTTTTCATCTAAAACTCCACCAGTGTTACAGATCTAGAAGTGTACTAAGTTATCATCCCTCACACACACACACACACACACACACACACTGCAGTATCTTTGGCATTAACTGTTAGTCAGCACTCTGTTAGCAAAATTTGTCATGAACCACCTGATGGATTTTAGTCCAACTGAATTATTGAATGTAGATCTACTCCATCTTGGCTTTAGGAGTCCAGTCAAACCAGGATGGCTGCCACCGCTAACTGAGCTTTGCTACCTAAAACGTGGCTTGGCTCCAGACCTATAGAACTGATGGAGTAAAAGTTTTATGTGGTAGTACCTGAGAGTCATCAACATGTAATTCAAGAGAAGTATATATGGTAATGTAAAATAATACACAACTTTATCATCCTGAAGGAAAGTTCCAGAAGTCGCCAGCTTCTTCAAATCACACAACACAATGTTGGGAACAATAAAACACATCAGAGAATATACAAGTAGAAAGAAAAGACAAGAAAATAGAATCAAAACGTGAGGAGGTTTGTATGAAAGGTGGTTAAAACCTGATGACACCAATTGTAAAAAGTAGTTACTGCTCTATGAAAACTTAATACCGGTAAAGTTGTGAGTGTGTAGGTCAGGGGCGTCCAAACATTTTCACATGTGGGCCAAAACGATCCAGATGAAAGGACTCGTGGGCCACAAAAATGTGAATTTAACCCTCAACGTGAACAATGTTTTGAAGAAAGGACAAAAGTTTCCTAATGTTAGTTGAGAAAGAGTTTTAAATTGTTGAAGATCCAAAACATTAAAAGACTAAAAAGGATTTGATTCATTTGTTGTCTTGTGTTTGGAAAGTTCATTTAGTCTTTTCTCAGCAACAAAAGTGTAATTTGAGTTTTTAAAAGGGGCTCAAAACCATGGACGGCACAAAAGGCTGATCGAAGTTCTGAAAAATCATCCAGCTGTCAGTCGCTACAACAGATTCATAGAAGGTTTGAAAAAGTTGATCAACTTGTATGTAGTTGATGCCACATTATAATCATTTTAAAAAAAATCCAGTTTCTCTCTTGATTATTTTATCAGCTGCAATATTTAGCCAAGTTTTATGAATAAATATCCAATAGCCTCGTTTCTGATAGAAATCAGTAAATGTTTTTGGTGCTTTGTACCATGATGTGAAAATAAAAAGATCACAGCCAAAGGTTGTGCTGATTACGGTAAAGGTATTGCTCGTTTTGAGAAGGTTGTTTTTAATCTGCTTTGCTGTTAAACCTAAACATTATATAAAAATAATTACCAACTAATCTGCAGAAAGTCTGCATCGACCTCTTGCCTGCTGCTCAAAATGATACCATCTTAAACTGCAGCTGTGGGCCACACAATCACTCAAAGGGCCGCAAATGGCCCACGGGCCACACTTTGGACACCTGCGGTGGCTCCAACAGCAAGGCAGACAGTTGCATGAGTTGGTGTGTATTTTCCAGGTTCGAGTAAAAAGACTGTAACTCCATCACTGTTGAATGAATACTCTGGTCTGAGGCAGCTGGTGATGCATTCAAAGAATTTCAGACTCTTCTTGGTTCTCTTGTTCCCCTTCAGCTAGGACGTCTGGTACCAGGGTGGTTGTTCTGCTTTTTATATCGTATTTTTTTCCTCCTGCAGTTACAAGCAGAAGTTGAACGTTTAGAGACACTCAAAGTGCTGAACCTCCGCAACGTGACCGAAGCAATCCGCTGTGAGATCGCTGTGTTCTGGGAGAAGTGCTTCTTCAGCGCTGATCAGAGGCAGGCTTTCGCTCCATATTTTAGTGGTGAGTTTCTTTCTTTAATGGTATTCAAACAGCCATCCAACTAGAAATGAATTGTGTTTTCTAATTGTATGTATCAATTTTTAGAGGACATTAATGAAGAGCTACTGGCTCGTCATGACGCTGAGGTTCAGCGTTTGAAGCAGCATTATGAGGACCACAGGGAGCTCTTCGAGGGGGTCAACAAATGGGAAGAAAGTTGGAGACTCTACTTGGATCTGGAGGTGAATTCATTTGATATCAAATGGAAACTACGCTACACATATTTTCTGTGTACGGTATATATGTGTCACATTTACCGTGTACGGTAAATATGTGTAGCCTTTAACACGGCTAAAATATTAAAGCACCGGTAGTCGACCAAAAGTCACTCATGGCTACGTTCTTCGTTCTCCTGTGCACTAAAGTCCTCTTTGAGCCTCAGGAAAACGTCATCACACAACGCCTCCATCTCGGCAGCTGTTTCCTTCAACAGCTGATCGATCGCTTTTAACTTTAAAGCTGCATCATAAGAAATTCTCCGTGCGTTTTCCATTATTGGTGCAGGTGAACAGGTCTGTGCATGTGACGCAAAATATGATAAGTGATCTGAAGAAATGAACGCACGTCTATCTTGGGGGGTGGTCCTTGAGTACCTCATTGGTCATTTTGGTTAGACTTCTGGTCACATGATGACAGAGTGGGTGGAGTTATGGTAGGGAGTTTGAAACTGAGCAAGAGGCTTGTTACCTGTAGTTACCTGAGGGCATTCACTCTGTGTCACAGAGGGTTGGGCACTGGGCAGCACCCAGCTCTGACAAAAGAAAATGTTGTTCAGCGGCAGGAAGTTGCCAAGAGATGTCAGGAAGTCTGTCAAAATAAAATAAAAATAGAAATTATAAAAATTATATAATACACAAATTTGCCACTCCAGTGTATAAGCTGTGTAGTCTAAAGTGTTATTAAAATAAAGTAGCGGCTTATACACCGGCAGTTGCGGTACTTGAACAACAGCAGCAATGATGGGATTCAACAACAAATAGTTTTCTCTAAAAGAGCAACTCCCATTCACTTATGTAGAGGATGCATCAAACATTTTATGACCATTTTATTTAATGCTGCTGTGCACGCTCCTGCTTCAACTTCTACAGTTTTGAACATTTATACGTGTTATTTTTTTTTCTTCATCTTGATCATTTGTAGAAAAAGGCGACCGATCCAACGAGGTTCACTAACAGAGGAGGGAATCTTCTAAAAGAAGAAAAACAGAGGTCAGAGCTGCAGAAAAACCTGCCAAAGGTAAGACAAAAACATATTTTCTACAGTTCCAAGAGCTTGTGCAACTTTCACAGTATCCTGCTGTTGTTTGTGTTTGAAGCTTGAAAAAAAACTAAAAGATCAAATAGACGCCTGGGAGAAGGAAGAGGGCCGGGAGTTCCTGGTGAATGGCCAGAAGTTCCTGCAGTATGTGGCTCAACAGTGGGAGCTGCACCTTTTGGAAAAAGAAAAAGAGAAGCTTCAGAGGGTAGGCATGTTGTAGACTCATCTCTGTCGGTGTTTGTAAGAAATATTAACTCTGGCTTTACAATGTCTGCACAGCACATGAAGAAGAGCAAGCAGACGGAGGAGGACATGCTGTACGGCACAGCTATAAGAACCCCAACGAAGCGCCGCTTCCTCGCCACACCTACCTCCAATAAAACACGAAAGGTGACAACACAGTTTCTGACTGACTTTACAGATGATGCACTTTTCAGCCCTGACCCACCTTCTGCCTCCTTCACAGTTTAATGCAACTTCCAGCCTTTACAGCGCCACCACCAACAGCACCATGCGCTCTGCATACGGAGGAACGCTCTGTCACTCACCTGTGCTTCGTCTCCCCCTCTCTGCAAACATGGTTGGTCTAACATTCTTGATGGAAAAAAATGTAACGCACAGCTGCTCCTAACGTTAGGGGAGGATTAGGAATATAATCAATACATTACAGGAATATAATCAATAGATTACAGGAATATCTAAAAAAAAAAAAAAAAAAAAAGTTAAATCTGGTCCTCTGGACATTAAAAAAACAAAACAAAGCAAAACAGCAAAAAAAAAATAGAAATGTTTCGTCTCTCATCCAAAAGACTTCCTCAGTCTGAGGTGCTGTATTCAGCTCAGTCTTATAAATAGCACCTTCTCAGAGTGGAACAACCAGTTTGCTGCTGACCAAAACCAGCTGCTCACATGATCAAGAAGGACCATCAGCCTAACAATGGATCATTAGCACACTGATGGCTGTTTACTATTCACAGGGGGGTTGAGTGATACTAGCAATAACAGCATTGTAAGAGGGGGACAGTTGAACCCGGAGGCCTCCACCCCTGTTTAATGATGGACAATTTCTTTTCACCAAGATGGCCTCCTTTACTCCTCTCTCAAATCATCGTTCCTCTCTGTCCAGTATGTGAACATCTTCACAGCAAACCAGCAAAACTGGTTGATCCACTCTGAGAAGGTGCTATTTATAAGACTGAGTTGAATACAGCACCTGAGGCTGAGGAAGTATTTCGGATGAAAGACGAAACGTTTCTACATTTTTGTTGTTGTTGTGCTTTGTTGTGTTTTTTGAATGTCCAGAGGACCAGATATGACTTTTTTTAGATTTTTTTTTACCTGGATTACTGAACATGCATCAGGATATTACAGGAATATAATCAATGGATTACAGAAATAAGGACTGGAGGTGGGGCACGCGGGCGAGCGCCTGGTGGCCGGGCTTTTACCCATGGAGCTCGGCCGGGCACAGCCCGAAGAGGAGACGTGGGTCCCCCTTCCCATGGGCTCACCACCTGTGGGAGGAGCCAAAGGGGTCGGGTGCAATGTAGGATGGGTGGTGGCCGAGGGCGGGGACCCTGGCGGTCTGATCCTCGGCTACAGAAGCTGGCTATTGGGACATGGAATGTCACCTCACTGGTGGGGAAGGAGCCTGAGCTGGTGTGTGAGGTTGAGAAGCTCCGGCTAGAAATAGTCAGACTCGCCTCTACGCATGGCTCTTGAACCGGTTTCCTTGAGAGGGGCTGGACACTCTTCCACTTTGGAGTTGCCCCTGGTGAGAGGCGGAGTGGGCATACTTATTGCCCCCCACTTGGTGCCTGTGTGTTGGGGTTCACCCCGGTGAATGAGAGGGTGGCCTCCCTCCGCCTACGTGTGGGGGGGACGGGTTCTGACTGTCGTTTGTGCTTATGCACCAAACGGCAGTTCAGATTATCCACCCTTTTTGGAGTCCTTGGAGGGGGTACTGGAGAGTATACCTCCTGGGGACTCCCTTGTTCTGCTGGGGGACTTCAATGCTCACGTGGGCAATGACAGTGAGACCTGGAGGGGTGTGGTTGGGAGGAACGGCCCCCTGATCTGAACCCGAGTGGTGTTCTGTTGTTGGATTTCTGTGCTCGTCATGGATTGTCAATAACGAACACCTTGTTCAAGCATAAGGGTGTCCATATGTGCTCTTGGCACCAGGACACCCTAGGCTGCAGTTCGATGATCGACTTTGTCATCGTCTCATCTAATCTGCGGCCACATGTCTTGGACACTCGGGTGAAGAGAGGGACGGAGCTGTCCACTGATCACTACCTGGTGGTGAGTTGGCTCCGATGGTGGGGGAGGATGCCGGTCAGACCTGGCAGACCCAAATGTATTGTGAGGGTTTGCTGGGAACGTCTGGCAGAGTCTCTTGTGAGACGGAATTTTAACTCCCACCTCCGGGAGAACTTCAAACATGTTCCGAGGGAGGTGGGGGACATTGAGTCTGAGTGGACCATGTTTCCTGCCTCTATTGTCGAGGCGGTTTACCGGAGCTGCGGCCGCAAGGTTGTCGGTGCCTGTCGCGGCGGCAACCCTCAAACCCGATGGTGGACACCGTCGGTGAGGGATGCTGTCAGGCTGAAGAAGGAGTCCTATCAGGTCTTTTTGGCCTGTGGGACCCCGGAAGCAGCTGATGGGTACCGGCAGTCCAAGCGACATGCGGCTCGGGTGGTCGCTGAGGCAAAAACTTGGGCATGGGAGAAGTTTGGAGAGGCCATGGAGAATGACTTCCGCACGACTTCGAGGCGATTCTGGTCCACCATCTGGCGTCTCAGGGGGGGAAAGCGGTACACCACCAACACTGTTTATAGTGGGAGTGGTGTGCAGCTGACCTCAACTCGGGATGTTGTGGGTCGGTGGGCAGAATACTTTGAAGACCTCCTCATTCCCACCGGCACGTCTTCCACTGAGGAAGCGGAGCCTGTGGACTCTGTGTCGGGCCCTCCAATCTCTGGTGCTGAGGTCACCGTGGTGGTTAAAAAGCTCCTCGGTGGCAGGGCCCAGGGGTGGATGAGATTCGCCCAGAGTTCCTTAAGGCTCTGGATGTTGTAGGGTTGTGTTGGCTTACGCGACTCTGCAATATTGCGTGGACATCGGGGGAAGTTACCCTGGATTGGCAGACCAGGGTGTTGGTCCCCCTATTCAAAAAGGGGGACCGTAGAGTGTGTTCCAACTACAGGGGAATCACGCTCTTAAGCCTCCTTGGTAAGGTCTATTCGGGGGTTCTGGAGAGGAGGGTCCATTGGATAGTCGAACCTCAGATTCAGGAGGAGCAGTGCGGTTTTCGTCCTGGCCGTGGAACACTGGACCAGCTCTACACTCTCAGCAGGGTCGTAGAGGGTGTGTAGGAGTTTGCCCAACCGGTCTACATGTGCTTTGTGGACTTGGAAAAGGCGTTCGACCCCTGGATCCCTCGGGGAACCCTGTGGGGGATACTCTGGGAGTATGGGGTACCGGGCCCTTTGATACGGGCTGTTAGGTCCCTGTATGACCGGTGTCAGAGCCTGGTCCGCATGGCCGGCAGTAAGTCGGGCTTGTTCCCAGTGAGAGTTGGACTCCGCCAAGGTTGCCCTTTGTCACCGATTCTGTTCATAACTTTTATGGACAGAATTTCTAGGCGCAGCCAAGGTGTTGAGGGGATCCGTTTTGGTGGCCTTAGGATTGCGTCTCTGCTTTTTGCAGAGGATGTGGTCTTATTGGCTTCATCAGATTGTGATCTACAGCTTTCGCTGGTTCGCAGCCGAATGCGACGCGGCCGGGATGAATATCAGTTCCTCCAAATCCGAGACCATGGTCTTGAGCCGGAAAAGGGTAGAGTGCCCTCTCTGGGTCAGGGAGGAGGTCCTACCCCAAGTGGAGTTCAAGTATCTTGGGGTCTTGTTCACGAATGAGGGAATAATGGAGCGTGAGATCAATAGGCGGATAGGTGCAGTGTCTGCAGTGAAGCAGGCGCTGTACAGGTCTGTCGTGGGGAAGAGAGAGCTGAGTCAAAAGGCGAAGCTCTCAATTTACCGATCGATCTACGTTCCTACCCTCATCTATGGTCACGAGCTTTGGGTGTGACCGAAAGATTAAGATCTCGGATACAAGCGGCCGAAATGAGTTTTCTCCGCAGGGTGTCTGGGCTCTCCCTTAGAGATTGAGTGAGAAGCTCGATCATCCGGGAGGGACTCAGAGTAGAGCCGCTGCTTCTCCATGTCGAGAGGAGCCAGTTGAGGTGGCTTGGGCATCTGTTTAGGATGCCTCCTGGACGCCTCCCTGGTGAGGTGTTCCGGACACGTCCCACCGGAAGGAGGCCCAGAGGAAGACCCAGGACACGCTGGAGGGACTATGTTTCTTGGCTGGCCTGGGAACGCCTCGGGATTCCCCTGGAAGAGCTGGCCCAAGTGGCTGGGGAGAGGGATGTCTGGGCCTCCCTACTTAGGCTGCTACCCCCGCGACCCGACCCCGGATAAGCGGAAGAAAATGGATGGATGGATGGATGGACAGAAATATAATCAATAGATTACACAACAACAACAACATCAATCAAACAGCACCTTGTGCTATAAAAGGTGTTGACATTAGCCAACACAGAAATGGCTGTTTTACTGATATTGAACTAAATGTTGTGGTAGTAGCTGAGAGTCACTGACACCACACTCTCTGAGTGAGTCACAGTTTCATTATTTTCAAGGTTTTACCAAAGTGGCTACACCTCATCTGTTTTCATCACGAGATGGTCTCAGTCTAAAACTCTTCATTCCTTTGGGGAAGTCTTCAATTATTACATTTCGTCACTTCTCTTTCATTGATCTAGGAGCTTTTATTTTAAGAGTCACCCACATGTAGACATGTTTGTGGTTCATAATCATGACTGTGTTGACTGTTGTGTTATTATGGTATGGTCTCTGTATGTCTTTAAATGTTTTCTTGTCCTGGTTAAAACTTCACATGCATCACACTAGACGGAGTGTTGTGTACACTTTTCATCACCTCAGCTCCAAGGTCAAGGTTACAGATGAAGGTCAAAGGTTATACATGGTCTTTGCTTGTCCAGGCCATTGCTATAGATTGCTGTACAGTAGTTTATTTGGCAGGCATATAATGGGCCGTATGTGGTTTTCATGTTTATCTGATACAAAGGCCTTCTGTAACCCTCTCCCAGGCTTCAGCAGCACGGACACCTGGTGGCGGTAAGCCCCCCCATCCAAGAGTTCAGGGCTGTAACAAGGAGAACCAAGGCCAGCTGAAGGGGAGCCCTCTGAGTGGTGCGTTGCAGACCCCACCTTGTGCACAGCTTAACCTCAGCATAGCATCTGTTGCCAGCACATATTCAGAGTTTGTGGTAATTTACTCTTTTGTCTCTAATGCTTCTCTACTTTTCTCTCTCATTTGCTGTGTTAAAACAAATTTACACACTTTATGTTAAATAATCCTGAAATGGCCATGTACGTTTTATGTTTTAGAGGAACTTGGTCAACACTGAATCCGTAAAGTCAAGGTGTGTTTGGAATCCTAAAACCTTATGAACTAATCCCTACTTATTTATTGTATGTCTCTAATCAAAAATAATCAAATCAACTTCCTGTAAAGTTGATATGTGATCCTGGAAGTTTAGTAACAGACCTACTGAGTTTCTTATTGTTCAAACATTTTCAGACCTTTGAAACTTCAGTATGGTTTCATAATCTGGCCCAAAATGTGCAACACAAACACAACTCGAAGTAGGAAAAAGTTTATTTAATGAAAATTAACTGAGCACTTTTACAGTAAATGAGCAGTCACAGGAGGCCAAGTGTCATTGGCAGAAGCCACAGCCAAGCAGACGGTATGTGTTGTCTGCAGCCAGAAGAGGAAAAACTACTAAAATAATCAACTCAAGTAAAAAGTAATTCCTTAAAGATTGACTTTGAGTTCAAATTGATGTTTTTTTTTTTTTTTCAGCTCAAGAGATCATCTGGTTTGTGGTGCACAAAGGACGAGGTGTTTTTATTTTCTTAAATTAGCTCTGAAATTAAAAATATATACATAAGTATATATGCATTTACAATTAAAAATATATACCCACACATGATATTTAAAACACTTAAAGACAACATGGTTTCAGTTCAGATCATGGGGCGGCTGTGGCTGAGTGGTTAGAGCAGTCGTCCTCCAATGCGAGAGTTGGGGGTTCGAATGCACCAGCAGTCAAATGTCGAAGTGTCCCTGGGCAAGACACTGAACCCCTCATAGCCTCTGATGTGTGTCCCATCAGTGTATGAATGTGATAAAGCACTGATTAGTCTCTTTAGAATGATTTGTTCAATTAGCTTTGTAGAGATCTAGTAGAGTGCTGTGTGGATGGGTAAATGAGGACACAGATTGTAGTGTAAAGCACTTTGAGTATCTTGAAATAAGATAGAAAGGCGCTATATAAGTACAGTCCATTTACCATCCCAAGGCAGTGTTATAGTCAAGACCACCTAACCCTAGACCAAGTCAAGGTCAAGACTTTTGGGGTCTGAGACCAAGTCGAGACTAAGACCTCAAGTGTTGGAGCTCAAACTTTTCACAGATTATCTGTTTTAAACTGTCGTGACATAGTGACAGTTTTAAAAAATATGTAAAAAAAAAAAAAAAGCATATGTAACTTTTATCAAAAATATATTTTATAAAAGTTACATACATCAACTTTAAGTTTGCTTTTGAATGAATGTATCAGCTTTTATAAATTTTCAAAGCTATATAACAAAGAAATCAAACATTCAATGGTTTTTGCACATTAACTTTCATGTCATGTTACCCACTTACACAAAACTTATGTTAAACAATAATAATAAAAATAATAATATATATATATATATATATATACATAATATTATGGCTCAAATATAATATTGTGATGTTTCAGAGCATTCTGACGATAACGATAAATTTCGTGATATAACAAACCAAAAAAAAACCAGAAACCATAGTTATTCATTTGAAAAACTTAACTTAACATGTTACATTGCAGTATTATTTAAAAAAAAAACAAGGGGTAATTTTACTGAAATTACTTTATTTAGTAAAGCATTCAGTCTCCAAATATAAAAATTAAATAGATCCTTCTGTTATTTAGATTGAAAAAGTATGTACAAAATATAGATCAATAAATTCACCACTAAAACTGAAGTGCAGGTGAAGTTTCCCCAAATGACTAAATAAAATCAAATGAAGCTTAAGATCTGTTGAGCATAAATGTAACAAAGTATATGTTGTCTTTAAATGAGCTCTAACTTCCAGAACTTGTGACAAGGTGATCATGTGACCCTGAAGCTTGTGGTGTTTCAGCTTCCTCTGTTCCTGCACAAATGATTCATTTCTCTGATGCTCTGTCTTTCATCACCTGACTCTGTTCTTGGTCCATGGACTGTGGAACTGAGACAGACCTGTGCGTGTTTGTACCAGCAGTTTAGAGCGGGGGAGACCTGCACCGACAGCCCAGAGCGGGGTGTGGAGGGAGGGAGCTGTCTGTACCTGCAGTTTAGAGCTGGATGGAGAGACAGCTGAGCTGCGCGTTGTTTGTTTTTAGCCAGCTAGTACTGCGCGCAACTAATTAGTGTTACACTCGTACAGACAGGTGATGGGGCGCTTGACGTGTTACATCATGAAATTAGCACATCATGGTATAATTTTTTTGCCCGGACAAGCTTTTTTTACCGGAATTATCGTGAACAATATGATATGGCCCAGCCCTATTCGCAGCCCATCAATTTTTTGGGCACAACACAGGCCCACATTTCCGAGTTGTCAGCAGTGCCACATAATAGATGTGACGTATACAGCGAAGCGATGTTTTATGGATTGTTGCACTTTTCTAGACATATTTGGACTGATGCAACAGGTACGGTGGAAAATGCGATACAATACCCATTTTCTCCCTCTGCTAACGTACAACATGAGCCAGCCAGACTGATCTGATCTGATGCAGCTGCTTATCGTGAGTGGCAGGAAAACTCCAGCAGCATCTCCACAGGAACCGGCTCAACCTTTATTTACTGTGTGGCTGCAGGTTCTGCTGCCACAGTGCACATGTCCACCATGAGCAGGAACTGGTCTCAGCTTTAAGTGTTCTTTGTGTGGGCAGGAGGTGCCAAAAATCAGTTTCTAAAAATGACTCAGTGGTGTAAAGAGAGTTGGAGGCAGCTTGATATGAGATGTTTTTTTTTTTTTTTAATGGTCTGTACTGATTTTTAGAAATCAGAGCAGCCAGTATGCAACATCAGTTAAGTGTTGAATCATTAAAACCAGTCTGACTGTTGATATGTGGCTACCTTTAGCTGAGACTAACTTTAACTCATTGGTGTTTCTGAACTACCACCAGCCTGTCATGTTAATGTTGCTTCCTTGCTCAAACTTTTCTAAGCATCAATCTATATTTCTTTTGTCTGACTGTTTCTTACTGAAACTAACAACTTGTCACAATGCAGCATTTGAAGTCCCAGTGAAATGCAGTCCAGTCTAAAGGCACTGAAATGATCTAAGAGTTGTCTCTTTGCAATTTAAACTCTACATTTCTATAAGTGTGGAACGAGACACAACAATGATGGACGTTCCCTTCTCTGAACCAACCAGACGTGGTGCACAAGAGCTTTCAGGGAACTGAACAAGTAAAGGCTAATAAAATAAAAATGGCGGTTTCATGGGAACTTAAATGATGTGAATGTTTCCTGTCTGGTGGCTTTTAGACGTCTATTGGTTGTACTGGTTCTGTACTGAAACAATCTGCTCTTCTTTTTTCCCCAACAGCGAGACCTGTCCAAGACCTCTAACTCCAAAATCCAACCCAGTGTCCTGAACTCAACCACAGCCAACCTTTGACCTCTCACCTCTGATGGTATTATTATTATTGTTATTATTATTATTATTGTCCCTCCAAATGAGTTCAGGTACTGCTGGTCGTTGTCAGTGAATGTTCTGGACAGATGAAGGTATTACTGAGTGTTGTTGGTCATAAACAAATCAGACGCTGATGGTGCCATCTTTGTTGGAAATGCCACCATAAAAATGAATTTTAAATTAAACTAACACTACTTTAGTTGTCAGATTGTTCCAGTTATTGAAATGCATTAGTGTTATCTTAAACAGCACCTTTCTTATTATTTTGGTTAAACGCATGAAAGTGTAGCTTTCTAAAGCTATGCAATCAGAGTTACAGGCCAAATGTATTATGAATACGCCACACTTGTATATACCGGTATATATATTGTGTATATTGGTATACACCGCATATATGTATATATCTTGCTACATGTATCATAATTTTACACAGAATTACACTGTTTCTCCCACATCTGTTTTCTTATTGAGTGTATATATTTCTGTATCTGCTGTTCTTTTAGAAACTTAAGATTTTCAGCCATCTGGACTGTTACCTTGATGGTGTACAATCCAATCACTTTGATTTGATATCATGACTAGTTTTTAAAAAGCTTTTCAAATAAAATGTTGTTTGCATAAAAAAAGGCTGGCTTGTCTACTCAATGTTTTGTTTTCAAAAATGACAATTTCTCCACAGTATTCCAATTTTTTTTTATCCTGTTTTCATGGGTTTCATGAGCTGTAAGCCCAAATTATGTAAAATAAACAAATAAATACTTGCAATTGTTTAAATTGTGGGCCCTGAATCCATCATCTATTAAAGATTAACTTTCTGAATGGAATTGTAGAAGTTAAACAACTTTTCCATGGAATTCTAATTTTTTGGAAACATAACAAACATGACTTTAAAACTGATCAAACCTCTCTGGTGATCATCTTGTTGGTTCGGTGAGTAGTAAGCGGCCATTTTGTTCCTAACATTTGATTGTTGCACACCAATGACTGATGGTCCTCCAGTTTTTGTTTATATGTGATATCTATGGGATCCCCAGCTTGACATACTCCTTCCTTTCTGTCATTTTGGAGTTTTATTTATTTATTTTAATTCTGATTGTTCGGAGATTTACATTTATGTACCTCTTCAATAACAAATTGGTAAAAAAAAAAAATTGTATTGTCAATTACAATTACAATAAAATATAAAAATAAAGAGAAATGGGAAAACAATAGCGTGAATGCTTAATAAGTATTCACACAGTGATAGTTTAAAACCTTTGAATAAAATGGTAAGCTACTAAACAAAAACTGCTCAAAAAATGAAATCTATCGACCATTGGAGCCAGTTAAAATTTCAAAATAAAACTTAACAGTAGCTTTATTAGAAGAGAGCACAGGTTTCCATGGGACCACACACTTCTAATAAAAAGGCCTTCAACACTATTGACCACACCATTCTTGAAAAACATAATAAATATGGCATTAGAGGATTAGCACTATAGGGGGTATCCAGTTATTTGAATAATGGACAGTTTACAGGTAAACGATGTAAGATCAGAATTTTGTGTTAATGGATATGGAGTTCCTCAAAGTTGTTTATTTTGTATGTGAATGATCTGGTTGATGTGTCAGGACTTTTGAAGGGTGTTTTGTTGGCACCACTTTTTTTTCGGGTGAAGATATTGAACATGTTGGAGATGATACAGGCAGAATTCATAAAAATACAAACTTGGTTCCAACGTAAGGGATCATTACATTTGGAAGAAAAAAAAAAACTATATTTAGTATTATAAAGAACATTATTGAAGTCTCATTTAAAGTTGACAGTAATTAAATTCATAGTTACTGAAATAAAAATTTGATGAGAAGCTGACATGGAAATCTCATGTAAATTACTTAAAAATAAAAATAGCAAAATCAATTGCATTACTGTATAAAGTAAGAGTTTTTGAATGACAAAGCTTTGTATATATTGTATAATATGATTGTTCCATATTAAATCCATTGTATTGAAGTTTGGGTGAACGCATGCAAAACTATAAACTGTTTTTTTATTTTACAAAAGAGCTATAAGAATTATTAGTAGGAAGTGCTATGGTCACCCAACAAATATATTATTTCATCAGTTGAAATTATTTATTTTTTTATTTATTTAGTTGAATATAGTATTTTACAAGTCCTGTATAAAGCTCATGAAAAATATTACCCCAAATATTAAATTAAAATTTGTTTTTTAAAAAAGTCATTATAACCTTAAGGGAATGGAAGTGTTTGTAAAACCTCCATTTAGAACTGGTCTGAAGGAGCTGCGTTGTAATTCAGGGAATAGGATGTGGAATTGCCTTAAAATTTCTATAACAATCTATATGTTTATAAAGATGATTAAGTTAAAGTTGTTAGGAAAGTATGATAACATAAGAATGCCTAATGATTTTGTTTTCATTTTAGAGATTGATCAAGCCTAAATTGTTTGTTTAAAGTTTATATATATATA